AGTTACAGATCCTACAGAGGACATGCTAACTAACTTCGTAAAACGAATGTTATTCAATGTAAAGACTATTCATCAATTGTCACATTTTCACGAAAATTAATCAAGGCCCACAACAAGGACCCCTGGGTAGATCTCTCTCCTATGTAAATTTTAAGTTTCAATTAAGATTGATATTGCCAATAAAATTAATTTAAGGCAATAAATTTTTTTCTTCTAGCATAATTTCCATCATATATTGCTGCGTGAAATGTGTAGTAATAATTTGACAAAGTATAACATAATATAATATTAAGAAATAATAATTATAGAAACATGTATATTGTAAAGTGAATACAGATTTCTCAGGTTTTGTAAAATTTAACTATGAGCATAAGTGGTATGAAGCATTACTTTACCTTTTGATAGTTTTTCCTTAAGTTTGGACTAGCCACGTACTCATACAGTATTATTCGGATAAAATTGAAGGATTTGGAAATGTTTTAAACAACTTTTGCCAATATAATTTTCATTTACGTACAAAAGGCCAAAACTCGTACAATTTATTACCTAAATAAGACCATCTAAGTGAGAAGGACTAAGCATTAAACTTATTAAATCAGTATTTTTCATCCCGTTAGCCTAATAAGCTCCTTCATTTAAATCTGATGGGCTAAATGTTTGTGAATCTTAGCTGAGTCATAATCAAGCAGAACTGTCAAATCAACTCGATAGTTTAGGTTGCACAATTTCCTCTCAGCTCTTAAGTTTACACGTCGATCAAAGGTAGTTCTTATCTAACTTTATACCTTCATTCATTAAAGGTAGCAAATTACTAACTCTGTTTATTCTGGTTGCTTCTTATTTTGAGGTTAGCAGCAGCTATTCTATGAACTACAGATAATTAGGGTTTCCGGCTATTAAATTCCATGTTCAGCCTCATAACTCAATAACTAAACGTACAGTTTTTTTCACTTACCCCATGCATTTTATATATTTGCTTCGCAAAACTATCTGCCATGCCTTGCAATTCAATAAAGCCATCTAGGCTAAATACATGATAAAATGTTTTTTTCCTGTTTTTGGCTCTAAACCATTGGGACAATTTGCAAATACATTCTTTCGGACCTCCAGCTCAACAAAAAACAGATTTAAAAAATTAAATTTCTATACTTTTCATTCGATAGACATCGCACAAGAAGTTTTGTTTTCGGAAAAAACTACATGATACATAAATATATGTTTAAATATTAACATTCCAGCGAGAAGTGTTGATAAGCAGTACTATGCGTTTAGCCAAATGGCAATTTCACTCATACCTTCTTGTCAAGTGGACTCTAAATCTAATGGGCGTAACTAAAATATACTTTCCTAATTGCTATACCAACATTTTTACCAATACAATACGGTTTTTATAACTTTATTTAATCTTAACAGGCATGCTTACTACCCGTGACAACCTGGTACCGATCGAGCATGTCCAGTTGATTGGACACGAGGCTCTCTCTGAACTGATGCAGGCACAGAGGCTGGCTGGAGTACTACGAGCTTATGAGCCCCAACTGCGAATCATCGAGGGTCTGGTTCGAAGCACAGGACCTATCTGCATGCCTATTCGAGCATTGGTGTTGGCACACGGTCTTAGTGAATATCGTCGCATCGTGAAGGCTCTAATCTTACAGTGGCTCCGTCTGTTCAGCCAAATGTGCAATAAAAGGTTCATTAGAGCATGATTCTTCTCTATCAGTGTCCCTTTAAAGCCTTTTTGTACGGAATGACGATATTAGCTAGGATTAAGGACTACTATCGCTTGTTTCAATTATACAATTATAAAGCTACTATAAAGGTAAAACTGCTATGCTTTAGTGCTGTGGTGCTCGCCCGGGTTCTGATTCTAACATTTGAAGATGCTCGTCAACTTTAAAATAGATATGTATCTAACTTTAGCTTGAAAGAAGTGGCATTTTAGGCTAAAATTTATCCGGAAGAATTAAACCTCTGTCTAATTTTTATTCTCGTAAATAGCATATGATCTATATATTTCTCTCTAATTAATTTATTTTCAGCTTTTTGGTGTTAAAGCAATCACAGCAATTTGAAGTCGACAAAATAATCTTTTTGTATATATGACGATTTAGATTATGCACATCTATGTTTGGTCGCATTCTTCTTTAGCTATATTGACTTTGTATGACCTCGTTTTCGTGATAGGGAAACCTTGTGAAACCTAGCCAGTTCTGAATTTACTGCTACAGTAGCTATGATACTTTCCAGCATCGGACTGTTGGCTTGGAATATGCTCCCTCGTCTAGTGGGCACTTTGATCAGCATCGTCGGGGAGGCATGTCATCCTCAGCACTAAGTAACAACTAGCCAAATTGGCGAGTGAAGGCAAACTTCTGGGCCGA